ACTTTGACAGTATAATCAAGCCAAATGTTTTATTCATCATAGATCTGTATGGGATTGAGAAAGTACTACTTGTCCTTCTATCAATAATTACATTAAAATACGGAACAACTGAGGATATGTCACTCACCTGTGATATTTTTGAAGGCTTTTAAAAGAAACCTGTATTTCACAGATTATTTAACATAAAAAGAGTACATTAATAAATGTAACCATCATAAACATCTTCATTAGAGACTGACACAAAAAAATGTGGTTTCTATTCATGAAAGCAAGATCCAAACACTATTTCTGAATTGGCTCAGCAAATGAATGAGTTGATCTTATTGTGCTTCATTTATGGCCAAACAATTATAGACTGGGGTCTTCACTGTATAACTGTTCCATAACTTAGACTTCAATGGTCCAATCTTTCTGCACTGCTAACTTTAGAAAGGCCCTATCCAAAGTAAAGGGCAGTTAGGAAGCTACCCTCACCCAGCCATATTTGTTTCAGTTCCTAAAGAAAAACAAGACCAAAAAAGCCATATCTCCTTAGAATATCTGATTACACTCCTCAGCGGCCTTTCTGTGAGTATGTTGCAAAGATGTTCTTCTCACCAAGAGAAAGGAGGGAAAAAAAGAAAGATCAAAGGAGTAACTGAGTTAAAAGCTTCATGACACCCATATCTAGGTCCTAGAGATATAAATGAAAGATTACCTATGACTTTTTCTTTTAAATAAATGCTAAAAAAGAACAATTCCACATTGCTCTGTGGATGCGTTTTTATGAGGCAACATCAATCAAAAAACTGCTCAGGAATGCAAAGGGACCAGGAGCATGTGTCCGTTCCCATCAAGAAAGTCTACCCGTCTTTCTTTAATGGTTGGTTATTTAAAAATAATAAGAAGAATAATAAAAACTACCCAGGTTAAAATGGAAATAAAAGATTGCAAAACAAGCGAATAAGCAACCCTGAGAAGTGAGTACTCTGGAAGTGTGGCCTGACCAAACAGAAAATAGTACTTAATAATCCAGCACATGATGTCCTACAGTTTGTCCATTCATTTATTGAAGGACGTCTTGGTTGTCTTCAAGTTTTGGCAGTTATAAAGCTGCTGCAAGCATTTGCTTTTGTGTGGATGTAAGAATATAAGTCATTTGAGTTTCTTGTGATTAAATACAATATTAGCTATAAAAATATTCTTCATTAGCTAGGTATGGTGGTTCATGCTTATAACCCCAGCTACTTGATAGGCAAAGAACAGAGGGATCATGGTTCAAGGCCAATAAAAAGTATGAGATCCCTACTGAAAAAGGATTGGGGTTGTGGTTTAAGTGGTCGAGCACCTTCTAGTGTATGAAAGGCCCAGAGTTCAAACCCCAGCACTGCCAAAAAAACAAAGAGAAATTCTTTATCAAATTAAGGAAATTCCTCTCTGTTCCTAGTTTCCTGAGATTTTTTTTTTTTTTATCATTGCAGGGTACTGGATTTTGTCAGATACTTTTTTTCTGAAAGTATTGATATGGTCATATGGTTATTCTTTATTTTACTCATATGACATGACTGTAATTGAATTTTGGATGTTGAAAGAGCCTACTGCCCCCTGCAGTACTGGAGATTTGACCTAGGGCCCCAAGCATGTTAGGCAAGCATGCCACACCCCCACTTCAACCTTCTTCTTCTGATTCAGACACAGGGTCTCACTATGTTTGCCTGGGCTGACCTTGAACTTGTGATTCTGCTGCCTGCACTTCCCAAGTAACTAGGATTACAAGTGTGCCCAACCATGCTTGACTTGAATCACCCTTTTGATAGGAATTGCACTGGATTTCTATGTTAACATAATGAGATTTGATCCATGACCAAATATATTTCAACCTTTTTAAGTCTTTAATTTCTTCCAACAGTACTGTGCTATTTTTTTCAGGGCACAAGTCTTGCACTTTTGTGTTGAATTTATTCCTAAATATATACTTTTTTTCTTTTTGATGTCTCTACAAATGAAACCATTTTTCTTAATTTCATCTCCAGATTATTTGTTGCTTATGTATAAAAATACAATTAATTTTTATATAATGACCTTATTTCTGCAACCATGTTGAACCTGACGTAAGTACTGATGGCTTTGTTACATGTGTAACTTACTTAGTATTTCCTATATAACAGATGTGTCATCTGCAAAGGTAGTTTTACTTCTTATCCAGTGTGGGTGTCACTATCACTATTTTTCTGCAGTGGCTTTAAAAGTTGACTGTGATAAGAGAAATACAAAGTTATGTACTTTGGAGTTTCTAATGAAATGAGCTATCATACCACAAAAAGACACAGAGGAACCTTAAATGAACACTGCTAAATGAATAAAGCAAATCTGAAAATGCTACATACTACATAATTCTCTGGAGATAATAAAATGATGAAAGATTTAGGGGAAGGATGGGAGATATAAATAGGTGATCAACAGAGACTTCTAGGGCAGTGAAATGATTTTGTATGATAGCATAGTGGCAGGCACATGTTATATTCATCAAAGCATAGCTTATGCAACATAGAGTATACTAATATAAATTATGGACTAAAGTCTATAAATTTATATCAATATTGGCTTATCGATTCAAATAAATGTGCCACACTATATTTCATCATAACCAAATTATGGAATCAGCCTAGGTGCCAATCAACAGATGAATGGAAAAAGAAAATATGGTATATATACCCAAGGAGTTTTGCTCAGCCATTAAGAATGCAGTTATGCTGTCTGCTGGAAAATGGGAAGAACTAGAGACCATCATGGTAAGTGAAACAAGCCAGTCCCACAAAGACAAGCCTTGCTGGTTTCTCTCACTTATGGAAGCAAAGAGAAACAAAAACAAAACAAACAACAACCAAGAAAGCCCAAAGTCATGAAAATACAAAGGAAACTGTGAGGGAAGTAGAAGAGCAAGAGAAAAGGGGGAGGGAAGATAGGAAAGAGTAACAGAGGGATGAATATGATTAAAGGAGATTATAAGCACATAAGGAACCATTATACACAATTTAATATATGCCAGTAAAATCTTTTAACATGACACACTAACATAAGATATTAATAACAGAGGAGGCTGGAAATGGGAAAGTGTATGGAAACTCTCTGTACTTTCTGCTCAATTCTTCTACAACTTTAATGCCCCCCAACCCCGCAAAAGAAAGTGAATTAATTTTTAAATAAGCAAATAATGCTAATTATAAAAAAAAATTAAATAATGACAACAAAGTCTAACATTCATAAGAGGAAATAAAGATTAAAATTCATTGATGCACTGGGAATTTGCTCAGGATAGGCTAACTGAGGTTTTGTAAAACAGTAGCTGTCCCCTGTAGGTGTCTAAGCTGATAACGTTTCTCATTGGCTGCTCCCAATACAATTTGTATTACAGTAAAATAACAATTCTTACTACCAGTAAATACTCAGAAAGTATTCTTCTGGATACTGCCCAATTTGCTTTAACTATGGCTGTAAGGCAAATCCTTCCTGTCTTTTAGACTCAAAAAAGCAAGTAGTGAATAAATTGGATTTTTCAAAAATATTCCAGAAGGCCTAAGTCCCATTTCTCCGTTTGTGAAACAGCCCTCTCTGTTAATCTCTCCACCCACTCTCAGAAACTCAGAGCTCTATCTCTGCAACCTCAGGACTTTGTCTAACTCTACTAATACTTTTCCAGCAACACGTCAGGTACTTAAATATGCCCCAGCCCCAACACTGGAAGCCTCTGGAAGCCACAGTCATTTTAAAAGAAGACCCCACTTCGAGAGCTACTGGCCAAGAAGGATATTTTAGAAAAGGTGAAGAGAGTGAAGAGAGAGAGAGAGAGAGGAGAGAGAGAGAGAGAGAGAGTGTTGTGGTGTGTGTGTGTTGTGGTGGTGTTGTGTGTGTTGTGTGTGTGTCGGGTATCGTGTCAGTTGTCCTTCCCTCCTCAATCCTTGGCCCTCACCTCCCTGCTCCATTTTTTATGATGACTTAAAGTTTTCCTTACAATAGTAACAAAATTGCCGCAAACAGGCTCCAGCCAAACCAGCTCACAAAAAAGGAAAACCTCTTATCAAACAGTTTTCAATGTAGAGTCCTGGGGGGGACCCTTCAGAAAAACTGACCACTGTGGGACTGTGACTGCCCAGGCTTATTGTCACATGTCCAGAACTCAAACCAGTTGAGGTTCCTCCTCTGGGCCACACAGCTGAAAAACAAAGGCAAGGGATCAGGAAGCTCAGGGAAAATCCAGATGACTTATTAATAGGATGGTAAGGATTCTGGGTAGGCAAGGTCAAGAAGGACACTCACCAGCTCCACTTGGTTCTCACACACTCTGCCTTGTTCCTTTTCCAGTGGGGCCTGCTAACTGCTTACTGAAAGAAACTGTCTTGCAGTGGGCCTGTCTCTCCAAAAAACTATCTTCACCTTCTGCTACACATGGGGCTATTTACTGCATCTTTTCTTCTCCTGTCCCCATGTTGGCTATTCTGCCTATTCATAAATGGACTACTGATTTCGGGAACACTTGGTCTTCCTGATCCAATATGAGAATTCTTAATTGCCAAAATGCACACCCAGTGCTCAAAATGAATTGGCTTCTAGCTTTTGTTTTGAGAGAGACAGGAGTATTGAAACACTGCCAAGCAAAAGAAGTACCCCAACAGATATGACAACCCTTCCAAGTATGAAGACACAAATGTGTTCACGTGTTGGAATTATCCACACAACCCCATGAGGGCGAACATGCTTTCCCTCCAAAATGAAGCCAAGACCACTGAGGTTGTTATGGGTGACCTCCTGTTGTGGTTTTTTCAATACCTATGCTAAAGATCTTCCTGTCTTCTCTGAGAGACAAGAAGAAAAGGAAGACAACACACTGTACTGAGAAAGCTGTCAGAAGATGCCAGTGACATGATGTCGGAAGTCTCTCAAATAACTCCCAAGAACACTATGGAAGGAAAAAGACCACCTTTCCCTACCCGACGCAATGCACTCTCTCTAGCCTCTCTTACCTTACACCAACCTGATTTCGCTTAAGTTATGGTCTACCTCCGCTTTTCACAGGAGCTTTCTTTTATGGATTTTCCAGCCGGCAAAGGTTTCTGTTCCACGGCTGGGCAGCGAATCCAACCACAGCATGCTGGCTAGGGTCGCATGCCCTTGCAGGCAACTCCAACCTGGAGGGGGCAAAGGCCAGAAGCCATTAGATGGATGGTGAGATTCCACAAACACCCACTCACTCACTCTCTCGCTCTCTTCTCCCTCCCTCTCTGCCTCCTTCCTTTCCCTCCCTCTCTCGGCAAAAGGATGGTTGGCGCCGGGAAAAACCTCACAACCACCTTCCAGAGGTTTTAAAATCATTAGCAACCAACAGAAACCAGCATTATAATAAAGGAATCCTAAAGACAAGTTTGGGGCTACTCTGAGGGGAAGGACTGAAGTATTTAATAAATTATTGAAAAAAAAGGTCCTGGTCTGGAGGAGAATTGACGGATGCTCGGTGTTGGAAAATTTAAAAGCCAAGTGTTTTAATTAAACCATGGAAAAGCACAAGCTACAACTTAAAAAATTACACCAAAACAACACTTTGATCTGCCCACAGGAAAAAACCAACAGAATGTCTGGCAGGGCCCGTCTGAATTCTTGGACCGTGGAGGGCCTGGAGCCAGCCATTCCCCTTAGAACTTCCAAACAGAAAATTAACTGCTCAATATTGTTTCGCAAAAAAGTTTTAAAATGAAAAACCCCCCAGAAAAAATCATCTTCAATTCCAAACAATGAAAATATGCCTTCCAGAAACTTCAAAGACACCCAACAAGAAGAAGAAAGATAAAAAAAGTAGAGCCATAAAGAAAAAAAAAAATTCTAATGTGGGTCTGGATATAAAACAATGGTAAATGTGAGGTGGTCAACAGAACAGTTATAGAACTAAATATTCCAAAGGGGGAAATGAATATGCTTCATTTCCTAATAGAGGAAATTATATATAGAAGCAATATGCAACAAGTAAATCATAACTTATTATTAAAATGGACCAAGCATTATTCTGCATAAAAGGAGATCCCTACTGACAAATATGTAGGCACAGTTACCACTTCAGCTTGAGGAACAGGGGCAACCCAGAAAAAATAGTGTTTTTTAAAATAACTTTAAGCTCCCACTGATGTTTACAGCTTAGGCAATTTTGGCCATAGGGAAAAAACCTTCAAAATGAGAGGAGTCCTAGAATTATGCGTGAGCAATAATATTAAATAATAATAACAATAATTAAATGTCTTATTTTTCAGAACCAAGGGACAGCAAGGGTTTACCAGTGGCTCACACCTTAATTCTAGTACTTAGGAGGCTGAGATTAGGAGACTGAGGGTTTTAAGGCCAGCCTGGGCAAATAACCGGAGCAAACATGGACTGCGAGGTGGTGGTTCAAGCTTTAGAGTTGCCTGCCTTGGAAGCAGAAAGCCCTTTGAGTCAAAACCATAGTCCCACCAAGAAAAAAAAAGAAAAGAAGGAAGAAGACAAATGCTAATTCAAATTCTGGTCTGGTAGACCCATTATCTATTTCTTTAAGTTGAGGCAGTCCCTATCATAAGTGCAGCAAGCATAATATTACATTATTCTCCACCTTCATTTGAAACCTCAGTCCCTCAAAAGAACAAGCTATCAAGTTGTATATGTATGGCAGGACCCCAGGTTTATGTCTACAAACTGAGTGATATAGCTGAAGACAAAAAGTTTGTGAGTAACAGCATTTCTTCTTCGGTTATGTATTCAAATTTCTCTATAATGAAAACATAATCACTTTACAATTAGGATTTTTTTTTTTCATTTTTCTTTTATTATTCATATGTGCATACAAGGCTTGGTTCATTTCTCCCCCCTGCCCCCACCCCCTCCCTTACCACCCACTCCGCCCCCTCCCTCTCCCCCCACCCTCAATACCCAGCAGAAACTATTTTGCCCTTATTTCTAATTTTGTTGTAGAGAGAGTATAAGCAATAACAGGAAGGAACAAGGGTTTTTGCTGGTTGAGATAAGGATAGCTATACAGGGCATTGACTCACATTGATTTCCTGTGCGTGGTGTTACCTTCTAGGTTAATTCTTTTTGATCTAACCTTTTCTCTAGTTCCTGGTCCCTTTTCCTATTGGCCTCAGTTGCTTTTAAGGTATCTGCTTTAGTTTCTCTGCGTTAAGGGCAACAAATGCTAGCTATTTTTTAGGTGTCTTACCTATCCTCACCCCTCCCTTGTGTGCTCTCGCTTTTATCATGTGCTCAAGTCCAATCCCCTTGTTGTGTTTGCCCTTGATCTAATGTCCACTATGAGGGAGAACATACGATTTTTGGTTCTTTTGAGCCAGGCTAACCTCACTCAGAATGATGTTCTCCAATTCCATCCATTTACCAGCGAATGATAACATTTCGTTCTTCTTCATGGCTGCATAAAATTCCATTGTGTATAGATACCACATTTTCTTAATCCATTCGTCAGTGCTGGGGCATCTTGGCTGTTTCCATAACTTGGCTATTGTGAATAGTGCCGCAATAAACATGGTGTGCAGGTGCCTCTGGAGTAACAGTCTTTTGGGTATATCCCCAAGAGTGGTATTGCTGGATCAAATGGTAGATCGATGTCAGCTTTTTAAGTAGCCTCCAAATTTTTTTCCAGAGTGGTTGTACTAGTCTACATTCCCACCAACAGTGTAAGAGGGTTCCTTTTTCCCCGCATCCTCGCCAACACCTGTTGTGGTGGTGTTGCTGATGATGGCTATTCTAACAGGGGTGAGGTGGAATCTTAGTGTGGTTTTAATTTGCATTTCCTTTATTGCTAGAGATGGTGAGCATTTTTTCATGTGTTTTTGGCCATTTGAATTTCTTCTTTTGAGAAAGTTCTGTTTAGTTCACTTGCCCATTTCTTTATTGGTTCATTAGTTTTGGGAGAATTTAGTTTTTTAAGTTCCCTATATTCTGGTTATCAGTCCTTTGTCTGATGTATAGTTGGCAAATATTTTCTCCCACTCTGTGGGTGTTCTCTTCAGTTTAGAGACCATTTCTTTTGATGAACAGAAGCTTTTTAGTTTTATGAGGTCCCATTTATCTATGCTATCTCTTAGTTGCTGTGCTGCTGGGGTTTTTTTGAGAAAGTTCTTACCTATACCTACTAACTCCAGAGTATTTCCTACTCTTTCTTGTATCAACTTTAAGAGTTTGGGTCTGATATTAAGATCCTTGATCCATTTTGAGTTAATCTTGGTATAGGGTGATATACATGGATCTAGTTTCAGTTTTTTGCAGACTGCTAACCAGTTTTCCCAGCAGTTTTTGTTGAAGAGGCTGCTATTTCTCCATCGTATATTTTTAGCTCCTTTGTCAAAGATAAGTTGTTATAGTTGTGTGGCTTCATATCTGGTCCTCTATTCTGTTCCACTGGTCTTCATGTCTGTTTTGTGCCAGTACCATGCTGTTTTTATTGTTATTGCTTTGTAATATAGTTTGAAGTCAGGTATTGTGATACCTCCTGCATTGTTCTTTTGACTGAGTATTGCCTTGGCTATTCGTGGCCTCTTGTGTTTCCATATAAATTTACAGTAGATTTTTCAATCTCTTTAATGAATGTCATTGGAATTTTGATGGGAATTGCATTAAACATGTAGATTACTTTTGGGAGTATAGACATTTTTACTATGTTGATTCTACCAATCCATGAGCATGGGAGATCTCTCCACTTTCTATAGTCTTCCTCAATCTCTTTCTTCAGAAGTGTATAGTTTTCCTTGTAGAGGTCTTTCACATCTTTTGTTAGGTTTACACCTAGGTATTTGATTTTTTTTGAGGCTATTGTAAATGGAATTGTTTTCATACATTCTTTTTCAGTTTGCTCATTGTTAGTGTATAGAAATGCTAATGATTTTTCTATGTTGATTTTATATCCTGCTACCTTGCTATAGCTATTGATGATGTCTAGAAGCTTCTGAGTAGAGTTTTTTGGGTCTTTAAGGTATAGGATCATGTCGTCTGCAAATAGGGATATTTTGACAGTTTCTTTACCTATTTGTATTCCTTTTATTCCTTCTTCTTGCCTAATTGCTCTGGCTAGGAATTCCAGTACTATGTTGAATAGGAGTGGAGATAGTGGGCATCCTTGTCTGGTTCAATTAGGATTTTTTTAACAGTACTGGGATTTTGAACTCAGGGCCTCACGCTTGCTTAAGCAGGTGCTCTATCGACATCCAGCCACCTCTGTCAGCCCTTTTTATTGCTGGGTATTTTCAAGACAGGATCTCACAAACTATTTTGCCAGGGCTGGCTTTTGAACCCAATCCTCCTGATTTCTGTCTCCTGAAGTAGTTAGGATTACAGGCATGAGCCACTGTGCCCAGCTTGCAATTTTTAAATAACGGTTTTGTAAGAGCACCAGAATTTGTAAAACAGAAATGGAAACATCTGGCTATCTTAGCCTTTTTCTGTGTTACCTCTATCTGGACAAAAAGAGCTAAATAAATTAGGATGTGTTATCTTTTAACTCCATTACAGACTGAGTATCCCTAACCCAAAAATCTTAAACGTTCCAAAATGTGGGAATTTCTTTTTTTAGTGCAAAACATGGTACTACAGAGGGAAACTTCCACATAAAATTTAATTGCACAAAATTAGTAAAAATATTTTATAAAGTTACCATCAGGCTATGCACATAAGGTATATATGAAATATAATTGACTTATGTTGAGACATCCCCAAGCTATCTCATTATGTATATGCAAATATTTCAAAATCTGAAAAAAAATTTGAAATAAGGAACACTCCTGGTTCCAAGCATTTCAGTTAAGGTAAGGTATACTCAATGTGTAACTCTTCACTTATAAGATCAAAACCTAAGTGTCCAGCAATACTTCCAGGGCTGAATAAAAGCACTTTCCTAGAAATTTGAATATCTTCTGTTCTATTCTGGAAACTTGCCATTGAGCAAAGGTCACAGCCAAACCTCTCTATCACTAGCCATGCCACACACTGTCACTTAATTAAAAAAGCACCTCCTGAGATCACTTAACTGTTTCACAACTTCAGGGACCTTAGCAACCTGGCCACACTTCACTTCTGACATACTTAGTATCCCAAGAAACAGAAGCACAATGGTGAAATCTTAATGCTGGA